ATTGAGAGAACTATCACAGTGTCTGCAAAAAGGAAAATAAGGAAAAATGAAAACTCACTGCTGGTAGGGCCAGACCCAAACTTTGTAGTAAGATCTGCCTGTGTCTAAAGACACTATTCCTCTCCACATCAGGCTGCAGAATTTTTCCTGTGTCCCAGAGAGGTAAGAGGACCAGAGTTTAAGAAAAAATTTGGGTTTAGGTTGACCTGGATGCAAATTGGAGCAAGTTACATAATCTCTCTGATCCTCCAGCTCTTTCTGCATCTACAAAATGAGGATAATGATGCTTGTTTTGTAGCTGAGTAAATAGGATAATGCACATCTATTCCTTAGTACAGGGTTTGGCCATAGAAAACACTGGATAGACCTTAGTGATTAGTAATCGAGTGGAAAAAGAGAAAGAACCACCATGTTTAACTGTTTACTTTCGTCAGCGGTTCAAGCAAGGTGAATGGTTGGTTCATCATTGTTAACACAATCTGCTTAGGGCCCTCCCTGGTGGCACAAGGGGTTAGAGCTTGGAACTCTGAAGCTATCTGCAGCCACTGCAGCACAAGTTTGATCCCTGGCCAGAGAGCCGACCCACATGGCCCAGCAGACCTCTCCTGTCTGGACCATTGTTTCCCCCAGTAATATATTTCAGTAGATCTGACTGTTCTGTTCCCTACTCTCCAGTGAATCCTCTTAGCCCTGCTCCCTCCCACCTCTGGCCTGTACCCCAGTTTTTGTATGCATAAATAAATAAATCTTTAAAAAACAAACACAATCTGTTCAGGACTGAGAATGAACAGTGGGAGTAGGGTACGTTGAGTCTGCCTGGATTGGAGAAAAGTACCCTGAACACAAGGTTTTAAACTGGTATCTAAGGAATTCCATCAGGTCTCAACTGGAAGACAATTCTGAGGATGAACCTGATGGCCGCCCCAGAAGGAAAATTGTGTGTGATAAATGGGTGGATGGAGACTACTTGTTTACATGATTGTGTGAATTTGGAATTGTGTGAATACATTAAACTTGTCCTTCAGCTTCCCCTGCTTCCAACCCTTCTCCTGCCCCAAAGGAATTACCTTTTAAAAAGCTGTTTTAGGGCCCTCCCTGGTGGCGCAGCGGGTTAAAGCACTGCACTAAGAAGCTTAAGCCAATTCTGCATGACATGAGTTCGATTCCCGCCTGCCCCAGGGCAGAACTCTCCTGACCCGCCTGCTGCT